GCTACCGACTGAGTGCAGGAAATATTTTTTTCGTGCATGTTTTCCAAAAATATATTTAAATCTATAAAAGCAGTCCAAATTAATGACAAAAGGCATTCTACTTTAGTAGTCACTTTTATAGTACATTATTCGTCTTGGCGATCAGAAAGAAGCTCGTTAGAAAGCCGGCATCCTGAAGTGTCCTAAATATGTTGAAATTAGGCTGTATGATCATCTCTATTACAACCATCCGCAAGTAATATGTTCTCATCGAAAACTCATTTCAGAATTCCGGGTGCCATTTCATGAGATAGTGAATCTGTTGTACACCCAACACTGTCTATCAAACTGTGCTACGGGACCCCCACCGGGAACTGTGAATTATATCACACTTGAGTCAGTTTACCCACCCAGCCTACTGCAACGCACGAAATATATCACTTGACTCTCGAAGCAGGCCTTCCTAAGCAATCAGTCTAAAATCTATCAGACAACTGCGGTTTTGGCACATTTGAATGAAACTTTTGACCCATTTATGGAAAAATCGGTGGCCGCCCAGCCTACATATAACTTGAACGTGTAACTTATGCGTGCAGGTGGGTTCAGGACTGAGAGCCTATTTATTTTCACATAGGCAGTCAGGGTGCCATTATAGCTCACGCGGCAAGCTAGAAGACCTAACTTCAACGGAGTCGATATTCATGTCCGCTGGGAGAGGAGGAAAGATATTTTTGGCTGTATGAATCCCCACTTCCGATAGTCTGCAGCACTAAAGATAGTTTACTACACAATGATCAAGGTACTGGCTTATTTCAGTCCCTCATCTCTTCGTAAATAAGTCCGCCTTTTGCGTTACCTTTCATTCCTGCATGTAATTATGACTCCTTTATTCTTCGAAAGGCATCTTACACTATCACGTAGACAGGTGAATATTACGATAGCTAATGCCTATGGCATTCACATTCAATACTAAGCGGAACAGTGCAAGAGCTAGCAGGCAAAAAACAAAAACATCATCGAGAAGAAGAAAACTCGATCGTTGGGGCAATAGGTTTATTCGCCTGAAGTTTCGACATCCGTCGCGGATTCATCATCAGAGAAATGAGTAGCAGAAAAAGGTTTGGAAAAAACATCATCCTTGCAAATACAGGCGAACATGCGAGTCCCAGGAAGTAATTGAGAAGGAGACGGCTCGATCACTGGGACAGTACTTTTATTCGCCTGACCCGCATCTGCTACTTCTTTCTGTTTATGTTTCTGATGATAAATCCACGACGGATGTCGAAACGTCAGGCGAATAAAAGTATTAACCCAGTAATCGCGTCGTCTTCTTCTCAACATCATGCTTCCCTTCAATTTTCGGAAACGGTGAACTTATTTACCAGTCTGTAGTTTAGTTGGGTAGCTTAAAAGTGATCCCAACTCTCGAGGACTGATGGGAAGGCTATCTAACGCCCAAAAAAGTAAAAAAGTGCGTCTTTATTTAATTGGGCATGCGCGGTAAAGGAGAGACGCAGGAGTTATACCGATGTGTGTTTAAGATATTAGCAGTCTGCTCAACCATTAGTTGGTGTCGCAAATGAGTAGATGATTGGGGTCTATAAAACAAAAATCCCCAAATATGACTCCACAATAGTCCTACTCAACACATTTTTCGAATGCAGCGGCCCTTGGAGCACATTTTAGACTTTATAACATGAATCGGTCCTATCTTTCCGTGGGTGGGTCCTTTGCACAATAAACAAAACTTTAAAAGTCGCTAAAAGACAACCTCATTATCCACACTTTGACATTTTTTAAGGTTTTACGCGACTGGCGGATCACCTCAAAAACGTACCCCAGCTGAATCAAAAGAATGGCCAACCCGTTACAATCTTCGCCCCTCTCCCTGCTGACGGTTCAGAACTGAACAAAATTTACGGAGAGTAAGAACCACCTTAATATAGGCTGCTGTTTTTATTTAACTCAACACAGATAATAAAAGCAGATTTCGAAACATTCACAGGTGATTGCAAGAAATACAAGTGTTAGTTAATGGGCCCAAGGTTAACGGGCATCTGCAGCCAAAAAATATGAATGCTGTTTTTGTGTGGAAATTGACGTGAGACGATGCTCTATGACAACCACAAATCACTAAGAACGATTTTTTCCCTCGCCGACCTTCCGATTTGAATTCTCTTTCTCTACATCGGGATCAAATGGTATATACGGTTAACTTTGAGAAGAAGAAGACTCGATCGCTGGAACAATACGTTTATTTGCCTGAAGTTTCGACATCCGTCGCGGATTCGTCATCAGAGACATAAGAAAGAAACAGTAGCAGAAACGGGTAATGCATGCACAGAAGTTTGCAGTATTTA